ATAATAACTGACAATTATATGCCAACATTCAAGACTCCAAGACTACCATACAGCTCTTTGTTACCATTGCTGGATACTGCCCTCAAATGGGAAATAAAGAATGGACGCCCACCATGTATCCCAGTTATGAGCACCGAAGAAGCAGATGAGTGGATGGTGAGGGAGTGGCAGCTCAGATGGGACAATTTATCCAAAGGTCGTCACACATATCACCTCCTCCCTAACATTGAAAATCGACTTAACATGAAAAATCTAGTCATTGACCACTATATGTCTCAACTACTGAGAGGGCATGGAGGTTTTGCCGCAAAATTCCATGCCTTCAGACACAAACCCAGCCCGATATGCGAGGGCAGTGAGGAAGAAACGGCGGAACGAGATCAATGAGCAAACAGCAACCATGGAGGCTCTCAGAACAGTGATTGCCATTCTGGCGGGTTTCAACGCAACGATGTGGAAATGCGTAATGAGACAGTAATTAAAAATTTAAATGAGACTTAATTAACTTTGGACAATAATGAGAAGTTAGACAAGCCTGAACATCCCGAGTTAAATAAAACTGTGACTAAGAGCTCGCCAGGTGGAGTAGAGATGCGACCGTCAAATAGACATAAGAAAGCTTCCGTCTGTAATCTAAAAAGCTATACACCAGCGCAAGACAAGAAGCTGCAAAGAGCCAGATATGGCTTAGGTGCGGCAAAAAAACAAAGGCACAGACGGATGCTGCCCTCAAATATATTTAATTAGAAATTGAAAATCAAATAAATCAACGTTGCGAAATTAACAAATATATTTTTATAAGAGACAAATTTAAAAGAGAAACAGTTGAATCGTTGCAACAATTATTTCATGAGCACAACGAATTGATTAAATTGTTCAAAACAACCATCTGAGTTCGTAGGATGCTCCAATAATAGATGAAGTAGTCTTTGTTGGAGAACAAATCACACGACATAGTACTTCAACGTCGAAATAATCGAATTCGACTTGCTGCAGATACTCACCGCTCCTACGATGCATTACTGTATCCAATATTGTTCTGGCAAGGATAAGACGGATACAGTTTAAACATAAAAATGATCGATCCGGCAAATGATGAAGAAAGAAACGAAAAGGTCAGTGATATAAAATTCATATCGATTCGTGAAAATGAACAAAACCAGATTTTAAAATGCCGTAAATCGTTTGATCAATACATTGTTGACAGCATACAAACGGTTAAATATATGAGGAAATGAACGGAAAAGGGTTGTTCCCCAATGAAAAGGTTCATTATAGGCTATCCTCGGCCGAATTAATTATCAATGGCGGTTTATACACTTTTCAACCTGTACGTTGCAGGTAATTTATTAAAACTAATCATTTTAGCACATCAAACTCTCTTCCAGGCCATCCTAATTATGTATTGACCGCACGTACGATTGGCAGCAGAATATGCAATACTGGAATAAAAAACACAATGACAATTATCATCTAACTAGGCTTTGTTCTTTGTTTTCTTTAGTGAGATGACAGACCCACTGATAACAATAGAGTTTGTTCCTTTTACAATAGAATTTGTAAAGGTATAAAATATCATAAATTAACTTGACAGATGGATAAAAACCCTGCAAGTAGGAATAGTAGCAAATTTACAGTTAATCCTATTTGCTATTCAATTATAATAAAATAACAACAAACGTCAAACAAAAGCTGGAAACATTTCTCATTATGCAAGGAATAAATGGAAACAGAAGAAATCACCCAAAACAGTTTTCACATTCCAGTTGATGACCTTTTGGACAGATTTAAATTGATCCGTAAGTTTTTTTATTGTTCTTTTTTGGCCTTTTTTGATTATTTTTAATATAAACAACAAATTTGTCAGCTATTTCATTGATTGAATTAGTGTAACGTTGCTTGTAAGTCTGCCCTAACGGCGTACAAGACCAACACTTCTGCACGACTTATATGTCTTGCGGGTCTAGTATATGTAGTATGCCATGACGCCCTAATCGCAAATATCTCTAAACGGAGGCAAAATATCCACAAAAAACGTTCGGAGTAAAAGAATTTTCTTTTCACTTCTATTTTATAAATATGTTAATTTTATGCCATGAAAAAGATGAAAATAAAAATTTTCATTAAACGTATTTATTTTTTTCCTGCAAAGAGCTATAGTCATAGCCGGCGCTATTCTGCATTTTCACGTTTTCTGCGTTTTTTCTACAAATCTATAATAATAGATTAGAAGCCCCTTCGTGGGTAACTTACTCTCTGCTGAAATGTGGTATACATTGAATATATAGCTTTTTCCTTAATAGACGTTTCCCCTTCACACCTGGTGATAATCCTAATTCTATACCTAACTCAACTACAAAGAAAATGGCCTTAAACGCCTCGTCCGGTCTAATGGATTCATTACGTAAATATAAATGTTACTAGAATAAAATATGCCTTATCTATATAAAACAACTTTGTAATATCACTACAATTCGATTGTTAAATTAGAGCAAATTTTCATCCAAAAAACTAGCTATTTTAAATATAAATTCTGAAGTTTTTTATACATAACTTATTACTACATTCCTTAGAAGCCACGCCATTTTTGTGTATTCACAAAGTATTTTTCGGCTAGAAAGTCGAGTTTTTCATAAGCACGTTAAGGAATGACATTGTATTTACAAAAATAAAAGAAGAACAGACGGCCAATAAATTCCTGTTGTATTAGAATACAATACTTGCTTTATATATATACTTACTTGTATATACTTACTACTCTCTATAAGGAACCAAAGTTTAAAATAGATACCTTTGCATTAGACAGGACACACGGTGCGACCTTTCCCAGCATTCGAAACTTGTACGTGTGTTTTCATTTGTTTATATTTTTTTTATATAAATATATTTAATTTATAATTAATTTTAAAAAACTAAATATATTTTACTATTTTGCCAGTGTAATTTATCTTGATGTGACTGATATCCTCCTTAATATTATAATTTTGTTATAATTATATATAAGAAGATCAGGGATAAGGTAAATTTGAGAGAGGTTCCTTTGTTTAAGGTACAAGTAGAAAGATCGGGTGAAAGATCTCATGCACTCTTCAAAGCGTAAATCATAAATTTATTATGGCAGGAGCCACAATTCCCTGTGTTGAAGTGGATTGTTAACCGTTTAAATCATTAGAAATAATTTCGAAATAATCCTGATGAAGAGAATATATTCTACGAAGCTTAATGAAGGAATTGAGTCTTTATCTTTCTTTCAAATTTGCTTTATCCCTCATCATTTCGTATGCATAAATGTAATTTATTTAAATGTAAACTTTGATCAGTAAAAACAATTTATTGAACATTAACAACAACATTCAACATTATATTTCAACTACGTCCTGAAAGAAATAACTAATGAAACTATCTAATTCTAGTTTAAGTTGTGAAATTCTTTCCGAGCCAACGAACCATAAATACGTCAAAATAATGTTTATTTGGCAGAATTGGATCTTTGTGGCTCTAATATTTTTCAACAGATTAAACAAGTGTTACTGAACGTGATATTACACGATTTAAGTCCACTGGATTAATAACCCCCCTTAACATAAATTTATCATCTACTAGTGTACAAATGATAAATTCCTTCCGCTTAAAGCACTGGTCAAATGTCTACCGATGGTCAGTCAATTTTTTTGTAAACTTTGTCTGTATAATTTTGTAAGAAAAAACACAAGTACATTATTTAAGCAAATAAGATTTCAAATGATTATTGGGAGATGGGGAGATGCGGTCTGGTGTGACGTAGGTTTAGAAAAACGTTTTCTTTTTCGTACCAACGTTTCAATCTTTATTGGGATCATCTTCAGGACCTGGGATTTATCAACATTGTTTAAATTATACAAATACATGTAGGATGTGAAAAAGGTAAATTTATACAATGCTAGAAATTTTAGACTCAATCAAAGAATTTGTACTCACTCAAAGTGTTTGTTTTCTGGGTAAATGTGTCATTCTTGTGTGTCGTGTTGAGAGTGCCAGTGAGATATGGATGTTTTATGTTTATATACGTTGCATTTTGAAGGGTTAGAAAAGGAATTCGGGATAGAAAAACATTTTTATACGAGGAGTCGGCTTCTTTGAGGTGAAAGGAGCCGACAATGGGAAAGAATGGGAAAGTGTTCGGTCTGATTATCCTTTCAGGATTTTATAGACGGGGATAATTAGGGAAAGGAAAGTCAAATGTTTAAGAATAAGTCTATGTAGAAATGTTTAATGTGAGGAATATAATGATTGTTTTATATGTTAAATTTTGTTTTGTGTGATGTGATGATGATATACGTATACGTGTATGTATGTTATTGATATTGAATTTGAGTAATGATATGCGACTGAGGCTACATGTGTCCGTTTAATTGATGAAGTGGTTATCTCATAGTATACTCATACATATATCATCATCACATCGGACAAAACGTAAGTTAACATATAAAACAATCGTTACATTCCTCACATCAAAAATTTCTACATAGACTTATTCTTTAACAATTTGGCTTTCCTTTCCCCGTCTATATAATCCCTAATTGATAATCAGGCCGAACGATTACCCATTTTTTCCCATTCTCGGCTCCTTTCACCTCAAAAAAGCCGACTCCTCACATAAAAATGTTTTCTGTCCCAACTTCATTTTCTACCCCTTCAAAATGGAACGTATGTTGTTTATATAAACATAAAACATCAATATCTCACTGGCACTCCCAACACAACACCCAATAATGATACATCTATACAGAAAACAAACACTTTGAGTGAGTACAAATACTTTGAGTCTAAAATTTCTAGCATTGTATAAATTCACTTTCTTCACATCCTACATGTATTTGTATAATTTAAACAATGTTTACAAATCCCAGACCCTGAAGATGATCTGAAAGATCGAAACGTTGGCGTAAAGAAAATGTTTTTCTAAAACTACATCACACGAGACCGCATCTCACGATCTCCAAATAATCATTAATTAACGGTCACTAAACACCCCACACTATCAATTATGTAACAGTAAATTGAGGAAAAAATACCGTTTTAACAATAAAAGCACATTTTATGTTAGTTTAAAATATATAAAGTATTAATTACAGTTATCTTATAAAAGGTTAGATTTCACCAGAGTTAAGCGTTTGATTTTACTCTCTGACGTTTTTTACTTCCTGTAATGTACTTAGCCGCATGACCAAGTTTTGCGTTTCCGTGGAAAAAAAGATTTTGAATCCAATCCTAAAACAAAAAGAGTTATCAATATCGTTCCATCAGTTGAACTCAAAAGTTCAGGTATGTTTCACTTAAGTGTTAAAACACCTACGACCGTCAAACTGATTCCCATGGCCATGAGCGCTAGGCCGACAAAAATGTAAAAGACTGTTACTATCAAATTTATCTCTTCCTGGAAAGAAGGAAACATTTCATTTGATTCCTAAAATACTGGTATATATTCGGATTTTACATTTGGGATAAAATCGCCAAAGCTTATTGTCAGAAGCATCCCATGGACGAAATACCAAGCGTCAAAAAGTTTCCATTGTTTTTCACGTTGCCAGAAATAAATGGCCCCTAACAAAATATAAATGAATTCAATGAAGACATACAGCAACAGCATCCCCCCCGTAGTTTCTGACTCCTCCGAGTGCTTATGGGTTTTTTCCTTTTTATCCGTTTTATTATTTTCATTCTTGTTATCCTTAGGGTCTTGATTATCCTTATTCTCTTTAGGGTCCTTAGTATCCTTAATGTCCTTATTTTCTTTCTTCTCTTTAAAATCCTTATCCTTATGATCTTTATTATCCTTATTAACCTTACTATCCTTTTGATCCGTATTTCCATCGTCCTGATTGACCCTTAAAACCGATTAAATTTTATATAATCCATTGATTAACCAATTCTATCAGTTTTCTAAATAAACAGGGAGAAATACACATACACTTTCTTTTTCTTTCTTTTCCGGCAGCACATAGGCAACAATATTTTCAAAATATGCGCCAACTTTACGCCCACGATTGAAAGAAAAATGAAAAACAAAGGAATTCCAAACAGAGAATACACGATTACGGCAAATTTTCCGATAGACGTTTTCGGAGCGTAATGATTTCCTGTAAAAAAAAAATAATATTGATAATAAAACCGTACAATTTTTACAAGCAAAAAATTACTCACCGAGAGTAGTATACGTCGAAGTACAGAAAAAAATCGACTGAACAAAGTTCCAATTTATTTCATCATTTCGGCTTAGTAAATTCATATCGGATGAAAATTTTTTTTCAAGAAAATCGTAGTAGCTACTTATTTCTGAATTTGCATCTGAGAACTACAATGAAGCAACAAATTACAATATCCAGTTGGTTATAATTCTATATTTATAGTTACTAGTTATAGTTTTATATATTATATCTCTCTCACACTCTCTCTCTCTCACTCTTTCTCTCTCTCTTTCTCTCTCTCTCTCTTTCTCTCTCTCTTTCTCTCTCTCTTTCTCTCTCTCACTCTCACTCTCTCTCTCTTTCTCTCTTTCTCTCTCTCTCTCTCNTCTCTCTCTCTCTCTCTCTCTCTCTCTCCATAAAATCCTCTTACCTCGTCCTCATCGTACTTACATTCCCATTAATTAACTGACCTCTTCTTTTCAGTATTGCATCAATCATATTCTGTTCATTTCTCCCTTCGATGATACGAAAAAACAAAGCGCCCAATAACGTATAAACTACTATAGTGACCCATATCACTAAATGGAGAGCCCAGCCAAGTTGTAAATTCGTACTTTGTCCTTGCACCCATGTCACGACAGAGCTATAATTAATCGGTTTCACCGCTATAAAAAAATACTAATTATTATGCAGTTTTACACGTGTATTTTGATATACAATTTTTTAATTTATATAGTATGGAAAAATACAAACGTTTTATTTTAATAATCGACCTCCTTTTGTTTTTTGGCACCTTGTGATGTCTAATGAGATGCTTCAGTTGTGACTTCTGTTTTAATACGCTTCTATTATCGAATTTCATCGGCTTCAAAGGCTTGACACGGTGACTTTTGATTTTGAGCTTCCTTCTCAGTGCTACCCATTCTGCGAAATTCCTCGGCTTACGACCGAACTGCTCGTGCAGCTTAATCCGTTCTCGAAGTTTGTCGTTCTGGATCTTCAACCTTTCGGCGTTTTTTTCCATAGCTTTACATCTGTCGGACAATTCCAAAATGGTCCTTTCGATTAATAAGAACATCAATCTCAGTTGCGACAGCAGCTGCAGCTTTTGACGTATCGCCTCCCTTTCCTTCGGCGCCCTCTTGTCGATCTTCATGTCGTTACGCCGGCAATTGCCACAATACCACTGTTTTAAAGTCGTGACGTGGTTTTCTATTGAGTGCAAGCTGAGCTGCGGTTTCTGGCAAAGCCCATGGTAAAATTTCTCACAGTTGAAACATACAACTCCGGGTGTCATTATGTTCACTTCTTTCAAGCAAACGGCACAAACACCTTTTATCGCTAACATTTTCCTCTTACATTGGACGCTCAACGAAAAATAAACACCGTTATATAACAGATGTTTTTTTTTTTTGTTTTTTTTTAAGAAAATTATTCGTGGTTCTTCCATCTGGTTTTAAAACAACCATCAATAAGTAGTTTTTCTATTCATAATTACATTTCACCCTTGCAGAAAAGAAAAACTTATCTTGGGATGCAATTTCATATACAGTTGGAAAATGAAGGCCCTAAGCAAATGGTGATGATGAATATGAACAAAATCGCTAACTTTTCCATTATTATCGTCCAACCCATCATACCATTTATTTATAAAGGTGGAAGGTAATTTCCATCATATGTAGACAAAATCTGATTTTATTATTTTTATTTATTTAAGAAGTGACATTTATATATTTGCTTGAACAAAAGAATGTTGGGTAAGAAGAAAGGCAGATATCGGAATTTTATAAAGTGAGTACTGAAAACCGTTGATTACTTTGCCACTTTAACTTTCTTCAGCCTGTGAGGAACATCCGGATAGGACAAACCCACGAGAAAACGCGCAGAAATTATGGCGACATGCCGACAATTATCCGGACGAAACGGGCAGTAATAGAACGACCAGGATGACCGAAGAATATCACCAACAAAAAATGTTCTTGTTTGGATAACCAAATCACTAAGAAAATACTTAAATATCTAAACAAATAAGCAAGTAATTATTCGTTTAAGCTAGGGCAGTAAAACTATTAGATAAAAAGAAACACATGATTTATCTATTGTTTTATTTAAAAATTATTATTATTAGATTTTCATTAAATTTTTATTTTATAAATATTATTTGAGATCATGAGATGCGGTCCGGTGTGATGTAAGTTTAGAAAAATCTTTTCTTTATCATGCCAACGTTTCGATCTTTATTTAGATCATCTTCAGGGTCTGGGAATTGTAAATATGTATAATTATATTAAATATTAAATTATACAAATACATGTAGGATGTGAAAAAAGTGAATTTATACAATGCTAGAAATTTTAGATTAAAAAAAATTATATAATGCTAGAAAATTTTTAGATTCAGGAAAAAATGAATTTATACAATGCTAGAAAATTTTAAATTAAAAACAAAATAAATTTATACAATGCTAGATTAGAAGTATTTGTACTCACTCAAAGTGTTAGTTTTCTGTGTAGATGTGTCTTCATTTGGTGTCGTGTTGTAGTGAGATATTGACGTTTTATGTTTATATAAGTGGCATTTTGAAGGGGTGGGGAGTTGGGACAGAAAACATGTTTTTATATATTAGAAGTCGGCTTCTTTGAGGTAAAAGGAACCGACAGTGGGAAAGAATGGGTAATGTTTCAGTCTGATTATCTTTTCGGGATTATATAGACGGGGATAATTAGGGAAAGGAAAGCTTAATTGTTGAAGAATTACACTATGTAGAAATGTTTGATGTAATGATTGTTTTATATATTATAATTAATTAAGGTTTTTAGTTGAGATAAAAAGTCAATGGCACGAGCGGGATTCGAACCCACGATCTTCGGCTAGATACTTAAATACTACCTCGGTCCACTCGGACACCAACTTCCCATCTCAACCACACCTTTTGAATTTTCCCTCCTTTTTGCCATTTTTCAAATGTCGTGTAATCGGATTGGATTCTCGACGACAAATGAAATGGCCACGGAGAGCTTTAGTGAAGTTTACTTCATTTTAAATCATTAAATTCACTAATTTCGTGGTCCGATTGACCAATTAATAAATTACAATTAATTAAGGTTTTTAGTTGAGATAAAAAAGTGAAAAAAAATGTAAAAAAAAGAAGTCAGGGTGTGCGCTCTAGGTCTCTTCCCGGGGGTGGCTTTGGTCGGCTCGCGCGAGTCGGGCGGGTGGTGTCGCTGGCAAAGCATATAAGCAAAGCTACAAAAAAAAAAAAAAAAAAAAAAAAAAAAAAAAAAAAAAAAAAAAAAAAAAAAAAAAAAAAAAAAAAAAAAAAGTAATATAACAGTTTTTTCGTTTATTAAGGTTATTTTAGCTTTCGTAATTAATTACACAATAATAACAACAAAAACTAAGTATATTTTCATCTGAGAGGGAGAAAGAAAACCAAACTGGTGATCTCGACGCGATGAGTTCCACACAAAAACGCAACTAAAGGAAGGCCCAGGTAAAGTAGAAATAGCCAACATTACACCCAAATGCCACCTTTTTGGAAGCCTGACCCGAGGATTTGATTTGTTCAACTGGAAGCACAGTTTGGGACAGCGCGTACATCAGACAAAAAAAAATTCGATGTTTTTCCCAACTCTATAGAAAGGGAATTGTTATCAAAAGGGTTGTTACTTCAATCCCCACAGCACAGACAAATATAACTAAAAAACAGGCTAATAAATGCATTTACAGACAGCGAGTTACACAAATTAAAAAATGGCAGACCTCAATATAAACGACAGGAAACAGTCACAGTTTCTTGCAGAAATTAGTAAACCTCTCGTAAAGCCAAGTAAAAACAATTTTCTCAAAACCTTATTACTACAGTGTTGGCATTGAGGCGTACAAGCTATTCTATCAGGTTGCAACGATTCCTAACCAAAATAACAGCAATGGCTGACAAAATGGGAACTTGGACCAACGCACATCCTTAATTTGCCCAGGTTTCTTCTCATAGGTCCAACAACTTCGGAAATAAAGAACTAAAAAAGCATAAGTCTAGAATAATTGGTAGCCTGATCGCGCTGTCATCCAATTTTTTGTAATTTCTAATATTAATTAATTGTACTTTTTTTACTTACTTTGTAAAATGAAATTTCTACATTTGTTTCTGCTTTGAGACTAGGTTGTTGAAAACTGGAAGCTTTTGTTATGGCAAAGAAAAATAACTTCCGTACGAACGCTATTAACAATGAATAATCTATGATCATTATAATATCCCTTTAAATAAATTTTCTGGTATACTGCTAGACCTACATGACATTCTGTCAATTAGACTGTTCGATCGATGAAGTCGCCGAGGGGGCAAAAACCTGTCTTATCTTGTTAACAGGACATGTTGGAACATGATAAGCCTCTAAAAAAGGAGGCGGAGGTTACCTTTTGACCATATTCCTTAAAATAGAACAACAATCAAAAAAATTGGAGGATATCGAATAATGATTATCTAGAGAGAACGGATTCAGCATTCCAAAAAATTATTTTTAAGGTAAGGTGTAAAAATCAATAATTTTGTTTTTCCTACAATCAATTGTGATTTTATTCCGATAATTAAGTTGCAATTCATATTCCGAAAAATAAAGAGGGAGTTCGCAAACGTTTTAAAATGTATAGATATGACAAGGAAACAAAGGCTAACAAAAAATATTAGTAGCTTGAGACATAGTCAGTCATGCTTGACTAATTAATAAAAAGATACATTGTGATTTATTGCAAATAAAATAAAGGAAAAGATAGCGAAATGATAAGAAAGGGGGTGAGAGGAAGAGAGAGGGGGACGGACAAACAGAAAGGAACTCTCACAAACAAAGAGATGGATACAGAGTGAGCGTGATAGATCAAAATTCACAGATATTGATTTACTTGAGAGAGAGATAAAATATTATTTTATTCTTTATTCTGGGACTAAAGTTCCCTAAGAATAACACTAAGGGCACAGAAATATTTACAAATCTTGAATTAATGGAGGTTTGACGATAACATGTAGTGAAATAAACTAAAATAAGTCACATAATAAAAAAATATAAAAAAATAGTGTATTGCCGGACCCGGACACAAATCCACGAGTGAAGATGGCCCAATAAATGACCCGATGCCGGTTCAGCATTTTGCAAATATGTAGAAAGATGGATAAAATAAAAATAAAAAAAAATAAAAAAAACCGTAAAACCCGCTCATCCCCAATCGACCTTATCCTTCCGCAACATACAACCCATACCTTCGAAAGATCCTTTCTGATCCGAGCCCCTAAACTCTGGAACTCCCTTCCCCTATCTATTCGTCACGCTGCCTCCTTCTCCTCATTTAAATCCCATCTTTATAATCACCTCCTCTCCCTCCAAGCAGAGACCTCACGATAACATTTATTATTTTTGTCTTTGTTTAATATACCTCGTAATTTTCTCTTCTGGCCCGCCTTACTGGCATACATTGTGCCACGATTTCTATCTATCTTTTTTTTCCTTTTTTTTTTAAATTATGTGACTTCATAGAAGGTTATTATATTTTGTCTCATGTAAATTATTCTAAGGGGACACCAGTCCCAGAATAAAGTTATTTTTCTTCTTCTTCTTAAAAAAAAATGTTAGTGATTCATTTATTAGAGGAGGGTGAGAAAGGAATACTGATATTTTGTTCTTGGAGTGATAACTTCAAATTTATACTGTTTATGTAAAGTCTTGGATGGGATAGAAAAGTGTCACGAGCAGGATTCGAACCCACGATCTTGGGCAAAATACGCCTCTGCTCTACCACTTGAGCTATCGTGACTTCGATCCACTCGGATACCAACTTCCCTTTTCAACCTACAATCGTTCGAGTTTTCCCTCTATTTGCCATTTTATATTTTTTTTCATTTTTTCACTGATTTTTTTATCTCAACCAAGACTTTACATAAAAAGAATAATTAATTGAAAGAAGTAACTTGGTCAAATGACCACTAAAATATAAATGGATTAATATTTAATATTATATCCATTATATTTCATGGTCCGATTGACCAAATACCTTCTTTCAATTAATTCATCTTTACGTGAGTTATTGGTTGAAATGAAAAATTTAGTGCACGAGCGGGATTCGAACCCACGACCTTCGTCTAAATACGCCGCTTCTCTACCATTTGAGCTATCGTGACTTCGATCCACTCGGAAACCAACATATCGAATAGATTACACCACATTTGAAAAATGGCAACAATGAGGGAAAATTCGAAAGGTATGTTGAGATGTGGAGTGGAGATCCGAGGAATCGAAGTTTCGATAGCTCAAGTTGTAGAGCAGCGGCGTATTTAGCCGAAGGTCGTGGGTTCGAATCCCGCTCGTGTCACTGACTTTTTTATCTCAACCAATACTTTACATAAAGTTTAATTAATTGACAGAAGTAATTTGGTCAATCGGACCACGAACTCTAATGTATTTAACTTATAACATTTAATACAAATTTTTTTTCTCGGGACACTGACGTTTTTACCTCAACCAAGACATTACATAAAGTTTAATGAATTGAAAGAAGTTATAAGTTAATTTGTTAATATCTTGGAGTTGCTGTTTTGATAAATTATTTAAAATAATGTACAGTAATAATAATAATAATGTTTCTTCCATATTTATTTGTGACCTTCTTTACACTATATATATTTCATTCAATCTAACAAATTGAATAAACTTCGCAACTCCAACTCTCTACTCAAGCTCTGCTTGCTGAGAGTTCGCTTCATAACTATAAGATAAGTAATAAGTAATAATTATTTGCATTTTTATCAATTATTATTAACATAATACTAATTATACTTGTATTTATTTTTTATTCTTATGTTTATTTATGATATGTAATATTTTGTATGAAGCATCTAAATAAATACAAATCCACTCGGACGCCAACTTCCCACCTCGACCTTCTTCGAATTTTCCTCCTTTTTGGCATTTTTCAAATGTCGTGTAATCAGGATTGGATTCTCGTCGAAAAATGAAATAGCCAGGCAGAGATTTTGTGATGTATACTTCGTTTTACTTATTGCTAGCTATAACTATCGTGACAAGTAGTTAGACCAGCTTCATATTG